GGGATGGATAATTAAGGTTCTTACTGCTCTCACTCAAAAATAAGGCTCAAAAAGGAATATTTTCATCTCTTCATGAATCTTTTCAGATTTCCTTCTCCAACCTGTCTGCTTTCCTCTAATCCCTGTATAAGCCAATGAATGCAATTATGTGCCATTGCCTTCTGGAAGGCGAAGTGTTCTGATCATGTCTCCTCTTCCCCTCTTGTCCCCCAGGAGGCCAGATGTGGTTATGTTATCATAGTGATGGCAGTTTTCTGGTGCACAGAAGCCCTGCCATTGGCTGTCACAGCTCTCCTGCCCGTCCTGCTGTTCCCACTAATGAATATCATGGATGCAAACACAGTAAGAGATTTTACATCATACGTTATATATTAATTGGTCAGCTTCTCTTATTCTGGGATTATTTCTCAGAAAATAATAATATTAACGTTAACAATAACAATACTAATAACAATAATTAGCATTAGTAGTATTACTAAAACCTACTTTTACTATTCCATTGCTCTTACACAGGGAACTGGCTGTCTTCTTCATGGAATTGAACTTGCACGAACCCACAGTGAGCTCTGGGTGGAGCTGCTAATCTGAAATCAAAGCAAATTCACTCTTCAGATACAACCCACAGTTACTCTGTTCTGATGGCTTTGGAACAACCTCCCTCAGAAAATGCCTTCTCTCTTGGCTTCTTCTGACTGTTTTCTCTCCCTTGTTCCACATTACAGGTCTGTCGGGAATATTTAAAGAACACCAATATGCTTTTTGTTGGGGGACTACTGGTGGCCATTGCCATTGAGAACTGGCACCTACACAGGCGTATGGCTCTGCGGGTCTTGCTTATCACTGGTGTCAGACCAGCCCTGTGAGTAACAGCCATAAAAACACCATGGGATAAAGGATTTTATGTGACATATGTGAATCTGCAAATCAAAGCCTAGAAATGCTTTCCTGCAGTCCAAGTGAGTTAGTGCCTGAGCTAACCTTGCAAATGGGGATCCTGTGAAGTGTTACAGACCTGGTGTGCATTTTTTGAATTCCAAATGGCTTTGGGTGGAGAAATAGCAACAAGAGAGTCAATGGTAGAAAGACATAGCTTCAGACACTCAGGAAAGACCACAGATGAAACACAGCAAACAAGGACTCTCTGCCTGCTACACTGATTGCCAAGAGAAGAGAAAACATGAGGATGCTTGTTTGCAAAACGACAAGTGTTTTCCAGACTAGAACTCTAACTATGCAGAGGCTACAGCACCCTATTTAATCTGTCTTAGCTCCTAACAAGAGGGAACACTGAAGCAAATTACAAAGCAATAGAATAAAAATGCATACAAGATAAACCCCTTTCCATCTCATGTATAATCTACATCTCATCTAAGGAATAATTTTGAGGCAAATCACAGAGTAATACTGAAAGGAGGATTAGAATTTTAGATGAGTAAGAAGAGAATCCTAAATAATAGAGATGGGATAAAATTACAGAAAAACAGAGATCCTCATCCTTATGGCTTAAACTGATTGCCACTTGGGATAAAAATTCAGCTTCCAATTCCTCTTTACGATACATTATACTGCATTAACATGTGTTATTGAGATGGCATGTCTTCCTTGGAAGCATACAGAATAAGCAGGACCTGACTAGGTAAATTGTTTGCTCCAAGCTACCAGGTTCCACTTTCTTGGTCATAAGAACGTAAAAAATTGGTTGAAATTGAAGAAAAAGAAAAATGAATATAAAATCTCACCGTGTCACTCACAAAGTAGACCAGGGTAAGAGGAAGTGCTGGGTGGGAACTGCTGAGCATCTTCCAAATCCAGCCCTTGTAGTTGCATCTTTGCAACAAAAATAGAGCATTGCAGTGCTGAGTTCTGATCCAGCTTTTCCAAACCTTCTCATTCCAGACTTCTCATGGGATTCATGGTCGTGACTGCCTTCCTGTCAATGTGGATCAGCAACACAGCCACCACTGCCATGATGGTCCCCATAGCACAGGCAGTGCTGGAACAGCTGCACAAGTCAGAACTGGAGTCCAGTGGTGCTGGTGAAGCACAGGAAGGGTCAACTCCAGAGGGGAAAGGTGAGTGAATTCTGGGCAGCTTTCTCTTCGGGGTGATGGAGGATGACCTGATGCCTTCTTCATTGTTTACTGTCAGAAGACTTGACAGTAAATTCTAAAAGAACAACACACCTCAAGCATCCTGACTGCATCACACAGCATTGATGAGGCTCTTCCATGAGCTACACAAAACCACCATAAGATCTGCTGACTAGACTGTAGTTGGAAATAGATCAAAAGATACAAAGAGATCATAACTAATCAATAAACAAAAAACAGGAATGCATTCTCCATTGGCTGAAGTCTTTCCATGAGGCTTGATATTTTTCTGTATCTTAGTTCAATTCTTGCCTCCTGTGGAACGGATCAGATAATATGGAATTCCCATGGGAAAAATTCTGGCCTATTTCAAGCCAGAAGGGTAG